TTTCCAATTTGATAAAAATGATTGAGCAGTAGAGTAATGACTTATCAGCAATGCTAGCCATATATCAATGGCACAAATAAAGAAGAGAAACAAACAACGATTCGCAAATAGCGATCAACACTTCTAGTCGAGATATCGGCTGAGTTCTCCATGAATGGCGCGGAGTAGAATATAGAGACCCTGACATACTGAGCCGGTCGGTCTGGCCGCGAACGGGCCACGCGGTTTTGCGAAAAACGGGGACGGCGGGAGGGAACACCATGCATAACACAAATCTACCGGCAATTCCACTCGCAATTAAACCTGATCTCTCGAACGAGCTATTTCACCTCGCAACAGATAATAATGTTGTGTATTATGCATTTGCGAAACTTTGTCTTAATTGATCGCGAGCATTTATATGCATTCGGCGGAGCTGTTTGGACTCGAGCTGTCACGCACTGGATTAGATTGGTTCAATTCGCTCGCGAGATACGAACGATTGTAATATAATTATTTAGACATATGCATTATTTTGGAAATGAATAATACTATTTATTCGTCAATATTTTTCACATGTTTTAGATAATTTTCTGGACAACACTTATCACTTTAATTGACCCTTGGAATAAAGACATAAACTTATGAGTCTATTTGATAACTTAAATTTTAGTGACGAAATTTATTACAATCTGTTTAAATTTAACTTTAAATATATAACATTGTTTTTATGAATACATTTTATTATATTTATATCATAAATAAGAGTAGCGAGAAATCTGTGAAAATAACAACTTCTTAATACAATTTTGAGCATAATTCATTTATTCAAACTGCTGAAATAATCGTTAGCCGTTCATTCTAAATTTAGTAATAACAACATTGCAAATTCGCTCAACTCTATAATTGCTTAATCGACACAAAGCATCGGCCATCAATTTAGAGGCGGCCATGAATAAAACACTTTGATACATTTTTTTATACGAATTTTGATTCGGTCTTATTAAGCGTGTAAAGTAGTAATTGTTAGTTCTGTTCGATTGAAAGATTTATGTTGATACATGGACGAACACATCACTGTTTCATGTACCAATTACATTGCGAAATCAGTCCTTCATTGAGGCCAAACCGCTCGTTGATTATAAAGAGTGTAAAGGTTAAGTTTCGTCATATGCCATAATCAGTATACATATTTAGATCGAGAGTAAATAAGTATTAATAAAGAAATTATATTAATTTTGATAAAGTTCAATTAAGAATTGTTTTGCTATTGCTAATATGATATTATATTTGCCACGATAAATATTGCAAAAGTGATTTTGAAATTGCATAAGAAACGGTTCATTTTATTATAAATTTTCTTGTACTGAAAAACATAAAATTGAAAAATAATGTTGCAACCCATGTGTTTCTAGCATATTGTAGAATTAAATTACTAATTGATTTGGGATTTCAAAATTTTTACTAATTTCAATTTTACATAAATATTTAATTAAATGGTATTTTAAATTTTCAAGCAACACCGCAATCTCGACAAGCATGAATTGAATCAAAGAAGATCTACAGTACGTGTTTTTGCCTGTCATCTCGTTGTCAACAGAAGTTCAATGATAAATTAACTGAAAATCGTCCGTAGTTCCTGTCCTTTGTGTCTTAATGACAAATAGTGTTAATAAAACAGTTGCGACATCGTAATCACATTTATGTGAACTTACGTATAGCCATGAGAGGCAATGAATAGACCTTATGTCGTCATGGTAAAGATTTTTGAAATGATATCGTATCAATTGATGATAAGATATTATTATTAGACTTACGTATAAAGAAGATTTTTGTCAAAATTTGATGTTGTTTTTGCATCACAAATACAAAATTGCGCTCTAATTATGTATTTGTAGCTTTAAATGTGCCAATTCCATCTGAATATAAACAATTTCAGATTAGGTTGGCACTTGCAAAGACTATTAAGCAAAAAGGAGCATTTATATGTGGCGTGCTTTGCAGTGGGTGCACTATTCAAATACTTTATACTAGAAATATTTTTCATGGAAAAACAACGTTTGCCGGGTCAGCTAGTTTTGTATAAAACTGTTGAATGAATTAATTACCTACGTACGTGGTAATCATATGAATTTTATGAATGAGAACTCTATTAATGTTTCGTTTATAAAATGCCCATCGTTAACTATACTATAATCGCTTAATTCGTGTATTAAGAAATATATTAGTTAATTACCATTGTTCAAAGTATATTTATATAGGTAGTACATTTCGCGAATTGTGTGAACAATGTCACCGAGTTTTTTTTGTTCGTAATCGGGTATTACAGCGTTCAGATAATAGAGGTCGACCGTAATTGTCAAAATATATCGTCGTGGGTTGCCGTGACATGTATTTCTGAAGTTCACCTTGAATTGGAACCATGATGTAGAGTTTTTTTGTTTCAAGTGCTGACAGCCTCGTTCGGTACCCTCTTTGTCTTTTAAGCGTGACATAATGTAGTTTTTTTTAGAGGTGTGACAAAACTGTATTGGGATAGGTAGATAGAATCGGAAATTATTTGTATTAAAAGAATATTTTGCTGTTGAAGTTGAGAAAATTGTGCTTCATTTTGAGAAGCGCTGTACAAAGATTAGAAGGTTTCTTATCCTTCAAAGTTTATTAACTAATCCTAGAGCTGAATCGTATAAAATCAAGTTCCGGCGTAGTCGGCGCAATACTCACGTCATTGGCCAAACTTCCGTTCAGGTTTCCGAAAGGCTCATAATTGCATTGCGATATTCTATATGCAATAACACTTTGGAAATACTCAACAGTGGTTAACAAATCCACATATATTATGATATGCTTGCCTGTTTTTCTGGTAGTATTATGTTAATAGATAGATTTCTGTGACAGACAATAGACGTTTAGTAATACATTTTACGACGAGTATTACTGTCTAAAATGTCATTAGCCAATTGGCATTTAACAAAGTATATTTAAATTTTACTAACATGGGCTGAGCATTGAGTGATTTCATCAACAACCTACAATATTTCGAGTTTTGATCAATTGCGCACAGTATGTTTTTTGTTAATAAACGAGTTATGTGCTTTGATGATATCAATTTTTTAATTTGTGTCCGAATTCTCAAACGCATTCGATTTAGTTCGCTTTGCTTCAATGATATACTTCACTTCGGTATGTTTACGTTTGATATTTAATATAACATATTTTATTACATTTCCTTTGCTTTCGGCCCGAATAGATTTATCATGATATAGCAGGTGTAGCTTAAACTCAAACTTACTGTACCGAGTATGGAGATAATGTAACAATGCTCTTCCGTTTTGCTTACTGTTTGCACATTTTGTGTATAAATTTACATTGCATATTATGAAATAGCTGTAAATATCCATAAACATATAAACAAAATACTTTTGCATACGTGCGTTATTGTGTTATTTATTGTGACATTGTATGCTATCTAGTTTTACTGCATATTTATACATAGTCTGTAATAACTTTATTGTTGCACAAATGAGCAGATATAAATGATTGCAGTTTTGATGACGTACAAAATACTTTGAATTGTTCAATAATTCATTTGTTAGTTATTATTGGGCACGTGTATGGTGATTTGGTAATTTAGATATTACATAAATATACAAATATTTTTGTTCAAAAAATGCATTACATTGTAATTGTTATTTTGTTACTATTTTGTATACTATTTTGAGCTATATTTTGTAATCACTAATGCTTTATTTGATTATATTACGTTTTATTTTACGTTTATTTATCATAATACTGTGTAACTAATAGTATACATTTTTTTATATAAATTTTTCATAGAAAGCTTAGAGAGCTTTCGAAGCTTTCTTTTGCGTATCGGGCACGCGCCACACACGTGCGAATTGTTACCATGTGTTCTTATCAAAGCATGCAATATTCGTAAAAATAAAAGTTTTTTGTTTCTTTAAGCTTAAAATGTACCTAAAACTTATATGACAAGCAAATTATAGATCCATTTTCTTTTAATTTTCAATTACACAAAAATAATAACTGTAAGATGAAGGTGACTATTAGTCGTATTATATTTGTTCCGCTGCTTGATTGTTTCATTAATCAGCAATGAGCATGTTGATATGAAGAATGCCCCTGCAAAATATTCTCATTCATTTGCCATTTCCTTAATGTCCTTGTCCTCATTACCAGCAAAGAGTATTTTAATTTTTCACCAGAATCTATAATTAACTATCTAATACTAATTTATTTTAGCGCTTGTATTAATCAGTATCTAATTTACCTTCGTTTATATCATAGTATTGATATTTATTATTAAGCCATATACGCACTTCTAAAAGTTTTGTATTTAAAAAAATCGGGTGTGTATTCAGGCGTGGTTATCTTCATGTGATTACATTTGATATGGGAGTGGATAGAGCTATTATTAATTCATAATGAAAAAGGTTTGTCGCTTTATCACACCTAAATTTGAATCAGAATTGGAACAAGCATGCACGAGAGTATTGATTAAGATTCCAATGGTAACGAATATTTTAAGGGTATTATCGCGAAACTTATAATTAAAATCAGAATGGAAGCAAAAACTCTGTCTCTAATTTCTTAAAATGAATTTAAGTTTGTTATATAACATATGGCTTGCGAAAGATTACGACAGGAGGTTTGCGAGCGTTCTGCAGGAGGTATTTCGGAATGAAATACGAAATTACTGTGCGTTTAGCCATGTATCCGAAGGGTATTTGCAGAAAAGTGAATGTTTAGCTCTGTATAAAATAGAAGCACATACTATAGGATACGTAATATTTAAGGTTTTATTATATGTTTGTTTTTTATAGCCAATAGCTCTATTAGTAATAATCTTTTACACATCCCTTGCCATTAAAATTCCTTATATATATTTCAATTATTATTCTTTATCTATAACCTTCAAACTCCTCCTCTGATCTTTCACGAATCATTTATTTCAGTCAGTTATCCGATGTAATTAACATCGTATTAACTTCTAATTCCAGGTCGTTCCCAGGAGCTGCGGGTCAGCTCTTCTAGGAGTGCATTTCCTGCTGCAGGAATTGGAGCACGTTTCACATCCAAGAGAGGTGGTTTTAGGTCCAGGAAGGGCTTATCTATTGTTCGATAAAGCTCAAGGCGGTGATTTACATTCACACGTCCGAGCAAGGCGGAGATTGAGGGAACCCGAAGCTAGAAGGCTGTTTCGTCAAATGGCAACTGCGGTTAGGGATTGTCATAAACTAGGAGTTGTTTTGAGGGACCTTAAGTTGAGGAAATTTGTATTCGCGGACGAACAAAGGTGGGTTAACTTATTATTTTTGTATTTTTATTTCATTTCTCCCATATGGATCTTTTAACCATTTGCCCGGGTATAACGTGTGTGGCTCGTGATGATGTACAAGTGCCATCTCAGGCAATAACGAGCTACACACGTTAGCGATAGCAAGAATTTTGCTTGCGCTTGCAATTTAAATTCTTTTTCGGCACTGTCCAAGCTAGATCAATTTCCCGGTTAAGGGGTTAATGTTCTTTTCCTAATTTGTTTATCTCAGGGTCATCATCTAAATTTTTTAAATTTTTATTATATCAAAATCAAATCAAACTGTATGCTTTTTAAGCCAATAGATTATCGCTTTTGTCTTCGTAAATATGTTGCAGATATCTTTATACGTTGCTCGACGTGTTAAACACATTTATAAATGTGTAGGCAGCTAGCCGTCTCTTCATAATTTATTTAACACATTTTTATACACACGAAAATATATGAATAAACGATGTTTACTAAGATTTGCTTGTCATCGCATTATCATGTATCATATTTTTGGCAACAATGTTTCTGGGACTAGAAATGATAAAATCTCTTTATGTTATATTGGACTGCTTATTCACAATAGCTTTTCGCACATGTTGCAAAGAATCGCAATTTCGATTTTATATTTTTAATATTTTTGCATTTGAATGCTATTTGATCATATTGTTTTGGCTCGCGTCGAATGCTTTTACTCTATATTTTTTCGTTGTCTAGGCATTAAAACATTAGCCACATAGTAGTTGTTAAATCAATTCTTTTTACCATGGTCTTTTGCAATTCCATCGATCTAACTACGAAAACTATAGCGTGCAGCGCAAAATCTATATTTAACGTGAAATTGACTCTTCGTACATGTATGTTTAACATTTAGCGAGCATTTTATTTTAAGTCATTTGATGTTTTTAGGTGAGTAGAGTAGGTAACTTGGTATGTGATTATTTTCATTTGCAATTTGGCATTAAGTATAACTTTTCTATGTCGAGTGCCAAAAATGTTACTCATCCTGAAATCATTATCAATATAAATCTTTTTGGCATGAAATCTGGAGTTAGTTTTTTTCTTATACTTTTAAATTTAGAACAAAAATTTGTACGCTGAAACTTTCATTAATGAAGTATAAAAATAGCAAAGCTTGTTAATTGAATCCCGACTTTCGTTGGCTAGCAGTTGCCAATTTATATTCATAATATGCATATGATGATCAGCATAAATCCCGGAAGCTAAAACTATATATAATATATATATATATATATATATATATATATATATGCGTAATATCCGCTCTTACTAAAGTACCACAAAATAAAAACATTCAACGTCATCACAACAGCTGCTTCTGGTCCAAAAACGCTCAACAACCTTGTCTTAAAAGGGACGTTTTAAATCTAACTACAGTCTATATATAAAAAAACTTCAAAATTATATATATATGTATATAATATAGTTAAAGCGAACTGAATATTAAGTTATAATTAGTCTCAATTTTACTTTATAATAATAATATATTAATTTTTTCGAGCAATGCTTCAACTCTTGATACATTACAGTGTTGTTACATTTCTATTTCATGCACATATTCTTTGCGGGCATTTTTATCTCTACGATAGACTAATAATTTAGTATACTCACAATTTTACAATGACCATATATGTTTTATAAATATCCCTTATCAAACTTCTATTTATCAAAATTCTCTAAAAGATACATTGTAAGATGTGTTGGTGTGTGTGGTTGCGCAGCGGAGATCAACAGAACCATGTGGCCTGTCGGGTTTTACAGGTTTTAAAATTTAAATGCGATCCTTCGGTGTTTTTACGAGAAAAAGGTCCGACTGTGTAGTATACGAAAACAGCTGCTCTGTCGATCGGGGTTTTAAAAGACATGTGAATGATATCGATTTTCATTTTACATAATATGCACATGGCTTCTTATGAGAAGCATGTGGAAGTTCATAACGAATTTGTCATTTTGATTGTTGGAATTTAGGAATCGCGGATCAACATTATATTAATGGAGTATGACATGAAATTACTTGAGCTGCTCATTTTACAAACAATTGTTTCTTAATTAAACTTATTAGACAAATTAAAATTTGAAATATACAATTACTTTAAAATTTATATATTATATGCCGGGTATATAATTAAATTATTATACTTTATCTGCCAACTACTCTTATAAATAGATTGTTATTTTGTTATCGTAGATACTTATCAAATATTCTTTTAACAATGCATTGTAAAATTAATAATGCACCTTAAAATTATATACAGTCTACAATATAAATTGTTTTAAATTTAAAATCTATATTAATTTACGAGCTCGAAAGAAGTGCGCGTTATTCTTTCGAAATATTGCGCAATAAACATGTACTCGAAACCCATTAATGCGTTTATTACTCTACAATTGTTACAATAGTTACTTTGTTTGTTACTAGTTAGTTTAAATATAAATTTGTGAATAATAATGAAGTAAATAAGTGTTGGCTTTACGATAATTTTCATTAATAAATAGAAAAAGGATTAATGAATCAAATTTTACTAAAGTAACTAAATATTTTTCAAAAATATTTTTGGAAGTCATCATAGGAAAGCATAGCAATAAATAGTGAACTTCACGGCTTACTTATCGTTAGAGCTTTTAGCCCACCTACATTATTTCATTTCTATATTCTATACTATTTCCATATATATTCTATACAATCTTTATATATCTTGCATTCTTGCTTTTCTTATTACTTCTTTTTTTTCAAATTCTACTTAACAAATCTACAAAATATCTAAACAATAAAATTTTTAATTTAATATTGTTTTTAACGAATTATTTTTTGTTTGACTATAATATTTGAAACATATTTGCTTATGGAACATTTCTTCATTATGGATCACCGCTATATAATAAAAGCGCTAATTATTTGTTAAACATAATTAAAAATATTTTAAATAAACATTTTTAAAATTTTAAATTAAGTATTTATAAACATCTATGAAATATTGTGTAATATTTTATTTATTTCAAGTATTAAAACATTGAATAAAAATAAATAAAAAAAAAAAAGTATTAAAACATATGTATGTTTTTTTTTTCATACCTAAAACAATATCAGCACGTTTTTGTTTTGTCGTGTTCTAAACATTCATCGTAATTTATAAAAACTCGAATGACTTTATATATATATATATATATATATATATATATATATATATTTTATTAAATTTATATGTAGCAATCAGAACAAAGCAAGTAATTCTATGAGCTACAGTGAGAAGATAATCTAAACAAATCAATAATGTAAAGTAAAGGGAAAAAATAATAATAATAATAATAATAATGATAATAAATAACTAAAAATAAATAACTAACTATAATAATAATAACAAATAGATAGAAATAATAATCATAAAAATTATAAAAAAAAAAAAGAATAATAATAATAATAAATAAATAATAATAATAATAATAATAATAAATATAATAATAGAATAGAAAACTGTTCCATTGATCAGTTAACTAATTAGTTAATTAATATAAATTAATATAAATCATATGGAAATTTCCTCTTCAGTCTTCTAGAATTAGGGATCTCAAGTAGTGCTGAAACTATGTGGTTTGGGTGTGATTCCAGTTACTTTATATTAAAACAGCTTAATGAAATCAAATAAAACGTTTCCCCCGTGTTATAAAGGTGCTAAAAGTGCACGTTTGCATGTCTCATATATCTGCATTTGACACTCGGCCGCTCTGAGTTGTTTGCGTTGCATAATCCATATACCTAATATCCCCTCACATTTTTGCGTTCGCAATGACCTCTGCCGTCGCGCTTGCTCGTTGCGTCGCAAAATGTCAGATGATTTGCACCTTATATCTACCTCCTGTGCTCGAAGAAATAAAGGTTGAGCGTATTACCTTATCTGAGTATTACTTATTATGCATTTATTATTGCACAATAATACGACACAATCGGGGTACGACCAGGGCCGCAATAGAGGCAGTGGTTCGGTGATATGTAATTGGGGGAGGGGGTGGGTCCAATAGATACAAAAATAGACTAGGATGAAATTTTTATTTGTTTATCTGCTGTTAATTTGCATTAAAAATTCATACTTTTTGTTGAACTTTGTTGTTTTAGGGCCGTGCAGAATAACATTTAATAACAATTAGTATTTCTAAATTGTTTGTAAATTTTGCTAGATACTTATGGGATATTTGAAGTATAATGTTGCCTTTTATCTATAATATAACTATTTAGTTTAAAAATGTACAATTAAATTTATTTTATTATGATTTTGTTGCATTAATTTAATTAATTTTATTTTTTATATAACTGATAAATAAAAATTAATCATTGTTATTTTCAAAATAATCGTAATATGAGTTATTTATTTTTTGATTCAATATTTTTGCTAAATATTTTAAATGTATTAATCTATTTATAATGTTTTGATAAATTTATTATTTTTATTTTTATCTGCGTGTTGCGGACCTCTTTTCTATTTTCAACGATCTGTTAATTCTATTTATTAGCAATACTCACCGATATCCACGATACAAGGTGAATAGAAAGGAATTCGATTTTTCTTGCAATCAAGCATTTTTCAATGGTATTTCGTATATAATTTTTATAATTGTATTATCATGCTGTGAATTAATCGACGCAAATTATTAGTGCAATTTTATAGTGATCCGATTTCGAAATTTTAACTTAAAGATTTTACTTTATTACTAAAAAAATATAAGCATTTGATTTTATTTGTACTACAGAATACTACTGATTTGAGAACCTAGCATGTTGATTTGCGAAACAATTCATATATTACAACCGCTTAAAATCTTGTAAAACCACTTTTTGCCAACGGTTAAATATGTATTGACATGACAAATTATAAAATGAATTGCGTGAGAGTTTTGCATGTAAGAGACAATCAGAAGCTTATTTATTTATGTATTGTATGGGGAAATACTTTCATACAAAAACATGGGAAAAAAAT